ATAAGCATTTATCTGATGCTTTCATTGTTTCAATAACAAATACCCATCAACACCTCAACAGAACTTCATTTGAAATTAATTCAAAATGAATTTAGAATGTCAACTTTTATTTCCTTTTTGAATATTATACTTTAAATATACTAGAGAGCATCTTGACTAAGTGTTCAATAAAGAGAGAGTTTGAAATTTCCATTTACTTCCAGTCTTTCCTCTTTTCTCTTCAGTGTATGTTCTTTGGCTATGGGCATATGTTATCATTAAATCAACACATGATTATTGAATGTTTATAATGGGCCAGACAATGTGTTTGGCATTGGCAATTCAGACAGCTCTCTGTTTAATTGAGGATATATTATTGTAAGCAAATAATTAACCATATATATACAGAGAGAGAACTCCCAATATATTATACAAGATTGAAGAGAATGGCTGTGCTTAGAGAATACTTAAGACATGAGAAGAAAAATTTCACAGTGATTTGATTAGTATCTTGAAGAACACTATAGGGTCTCATAGTCGCAGGGGACATCAAGCTCAGTTACCAAAACATACTATACTAAAACATTGTCCCACATCCTACTTTGTCAAATAGTGATGGGTTCTTAAAAGCTTGCGAGCAGCCATCTAGATGCAACGATGAGTCTCTCCTTGTGCAGAGCAAAGAAGAATAAAGAAAACCAAAGACATATGGAAACAATTAGTCCAAGTGACTGGTACTTCATACAATCCTCAGCCTACAGGACTATGAGCCCAGAAGAACTAGATGTGCCCAGCTACCACTGTCAACCTCTCAGAGGGGGCTCTTTGTAGGAGATGCTGGATAGAGTGCAAGAACAATGTGGAACAAAACTCAAAATCATTAAAAAAAAAAAAAGAGGGACCAGGTTTGCTGGTCTGATAGAGCCTGATGGAACACTTGAGACTATGGCCCCTAGCTGCCCTTCAGATCTGGAATGGAACCCACTCCTGTACTTTCCAGGCAAACAAAAGACAGGCATATGAGCTGAGTATTTCCATTAGGTAGATATACTCCTTGGAGAGTTCAATCATGGGAGAATAGAAAGGCTGTAAATGCACAGGGGACAGCTCGGCAGGGGTGGGGGGACAGGAGTGCATGGGAGAGAAGGACAGGGAAGAGGTAACTATCAGGAGGAAGTGCAAGCTGAGGGAATTATGGGAAATAGTAGTCTAAGTCATGAGACAAAGTGTATGTGAGCTGCTGTATGGGAAGTGAATTTGCCCTGTAAACTATCACCCACATCACAATAAAAATTAAAAAAAAAAAAAAAAAAAAAAAACTATAGGGTCACAATGAATGTGAGGAGAAACATTCATTGTAGACAAAGGAAATAATATGTAGAAAGGCATTCTGCCTGCCATTCATTTTGCTTAGTTCTGCATCAGTTGTACCTGGATGATCACAAAACTACCAAATGGATTCTGGTCCACCATAATCTTTCTAAATTGCAAAACTCACCATTTCTCTCTTTTGCTTAAATTTTTATTCAATCATTTCTAATAATGATTAAAAATAATAATGATTTTAAAAAATTCAGTTTTTAATCTACTACAAAGGCTCCTCGTAGTCTTGTCCCTTCTTATCCCTTCACTTTCATCTCCTGATAATAAGCAACATCTAATTGTTAATCCATAAGGTGTTCCCTGGCCAATTCTTTGAGAAGTGGACGGCCTCTTCCTTCTTCCTAGTCTGTCTCAGTCTATAAGCTGGGCTGTTACCTGTGCACCAGGTGCATCTCATTGGGTTTTAAACACCAGA